GGTTGACTAGTTTTTTACTGAATAGTTCATATTTTTTGTGTTTTAATGTATATAGACAAGAAAAGCATGTTAATTGATAGAAAATCTATTAACCTAATAAAAATATGTAATATTTAGTTCTTAGTTTAGTATAATAGTGATGATTTAATGCATTTTACAAAATATTAAATCTTAGTCAATCTACCCCTGGCCCGGGGTAGGTAGACCATATGCCCGGGGTAAGTTGACTCATGTACCAAAAAGAGTCAAATCATGAGTAGGAGCAAATAATTAAACATTTTTTAATATAATTGAACCTTTTGTTAAAAAATAAACTGGCTAAAGTTTCCTCTTCTAGATTAGTAAAAATTTGTCAATTTTTTATATATTCCACTGTGTCCAGGGTTAATTCTGCTCTCGTCAATTTCGGATTCTGTTCTAATTTTTCTTTTAATTTGGCCACGTAACGATTTAAAAGTCCAATAAAAAGTTAATTTATGTGTTGTTTTCAACTACATATTTCATTGGGGTTGGTTGAATAATTATTCAACCAGCCCCGAAAAAAATTGGTCTACCAACCCCAGACGCCATTTTTAATTTTGATCGCATGGCTAGCCTAAACACTGCCGTTGACTTGAAAAATAAGATATGAAATATGATAAATGTGCCCTCATTAAACGCTAGGACTAATAGAAAATGATTTACATAAAACGAGTAGGCATCGGATCAAAAAATACAATATATCAAAATATTACTTATGTAATTGAAATATGAAAAACATGTCAGTGTTCGAAAACAACGCACGACCGCGAAGTGGCGCTTCAGACAACTGAACGGGACGCGAAATGTAATGCTTGGTTATGATCAGATGACATAGTTCATACACTGTCGAAGAGTTTTCGGTAGTTAGTCTACCTACCCCTATAGTCAACTATCTCCGGTCTCCCCTATACCTTACGACGTTTGATAAAACAATCGGAGTCTTGTTGTAAATTGAGGTACGAAGGCGTTTAATCCGCTAAATGA